TTTATTATTTTGAAGACATGAGGTTTTGAATGCCCCGAAATGTTCTCAAGGTTTAAGACAGCGCTAACATCATATTCCATGACGGTCCATCTCGTCCAGAGTCTCTGGCGCTGAACCCATTCTCTACATTTCCATCTCATAATATCAGAACAGCAAAACGTTATTCTGCATGAAAAAATGCATAGGAGAGCTAGAGTGTGAAAAATTACAACTTCCCCTTTGGAAAGTTTAACTGTACAAAGAAAAAAAATATTTACAAATAAATCCTCTGAAGGTTATGAAGGCTGACAATAAAACTGAAAGCACCCCCTCCATAAAATATACAACTCAACGTGAATATTCCGTACCATATTCTTTATACATGTATTGCCCATTTAAATTGGAAGAACTACATGTACTGTATGTTCGAAAATCAAAATGTAAATGGTGAAGATTTAAGTCACAATTGACTGAATGTATAAATATAAACTAAAAAATAACCATCTGTAAAATGAATTTGAATGTATGTAATAAACTGCAGTATTTAAAAACAATTAAAGACAGATAATTACAAACAAGCAAACAAAAACTTATACATCTACTTCTTTCACAAATTGAACGGTGTCATGCACCAATTCTGCGATGTCGTACGACCCCAGATTTCTCAGTTGTGGGAATGTTTCACTGAATAGTGGATTAATTTATCTGTCTCCTCTTCCTGGTATATCTACTTTTATATTCAACGGTCCTTGTACCTCGGTGTTATTAGTTCGAATTAAAATCTTTGATGGCACATGATTTGTAAGAAACAGTTCTATATCTTCTTTAATTGAGGCAGCATATTGGTCCATAATCAACTTGGAAGAAAAAATACTAGTGTACAAGAGTATTAATTTTGATATTATTCCCTTAACTCTCACTTTCAAGTATAAATAAAAGTAACTGGTAACACGTACTTTAATGAGAATGGACAGATGATTGGTTAGTAACATTCTTGCCATGATGATGATCGATAATGTTTACATGAATATATAGTGTTTCTCTTATGCATGGCCGTGATGACGGATACAGAGACAACACTATGGTATAAAATTCTGCACTTTAATGCCGTCGCTCAATGTATAATATATGACTCACAGCTAACAACAACACATGTAACCAGTACAGCACTCAAATCAGGAGAGAGCGAGTATGTTACGTCACACTCCGTCATCGGTGAACACGTGATCGGAGGCTACAGGGAATTCGTCCCCTGCTCCTCCAGGACCACTACACTCCTCCCCATTTTTTAAGAGGGCGTCCCAGCCCATCACAAAAGGACAAACTACGATGCACAATAATAAATAAAGTTATCTTCTAACAGGGCCTACCATACATACATATATTCATACAGTAATAAATCAATTAAACATTATATCTGTAATAATAATAATCACAAATTTAGCACAGTTCATAACACAGTTACTCATCCTTGGAATCATCCTCCGCGTCATCTCGAACTACCACGAGGTCCCTCGGTGTCTCCGACTCCAGTCGTCTACGACGTGCGCAAGTGAGTTAGGGCTAGATATGGGTTTTCTATGCAAATGAGTTAATGAAAATGCATAGATAGTATATCTTATGTACAGAGAAAGTTCAATGGATTAAAGAAATGTCAGAAGAACTTTGGTTTCGCGTCCCGAGCATTATATGTTGTTAGCTGAAAGAGTGATTTCACTCTCAACGCACGGCGTTCCCTTGCAGCCTCATCCCGGGCTTCGTGATGGGCTGGCGGAAGGGGAAGGCCAATGTCCCCAGGATCGCAGTACCGTGGATTTTGGATGACTCTTCTAAGGCAATATCCGTGTAGTCCTTTATATTTTTGTCGCATGTGATGTTTTAATGCCTTCATTTTAAACGATGTGACAGTGCATCTCTCTGATTAGCAATGATACACAGGAACTATTCGCTTATGGAATTTAAGATAATGTGCCCGATAGGAACTTTTCTTCTGAAAGACGTGGGGCGGGCCTCGATGTACGACATATCACTGGACATTGCTGCTCCTCACTCGGCCATTCCTTTCCAATCAGTTCTTACTCTTTACTGTCTACTTCAACTTCGAAGACGTTTGAGTTTTAATAAATTACAGATATATACAAAAAGAATATAATTTTTAAGATTCTTGAGGTACATGAACTACTAGTTCATTCCCTCTTTATCTTAAAAAAAATAATTCATTTCTTAAGTAAATTCACAGATACCTATAACCAAGTTTTGAGTTGGAATATTAATGAAATGTATGAGCCGATGGTAGAGAGTGATGCACTGTACGACACTTGATAACTAGTCTTTTTTATACATACATATAAGGTCATTGTATCGACCATAGAACTTGCAGGTGATGAAGGTTAATTGTTGCATACGTATTGAAATTTGACGATAGAAAATTAGTGCTAAAGTGAGAGCAACACTGTAATCAATGAATGCGGGAATCGAAGACTCGGTGAGCTTGAGATATAAAAAAAACCCACAGAGTCCAACACTTCTGTTTCATATTTAGATATTTTAATTGACAAAGACACTAATGGTAATCTAACAACCAAGCTATATGATAAACGTGATATCTTTTCTAACTTTTCTACCGTCAACTTCCCTTACTTATGCAGCAATATACCTTCATCACCTGCATACGGAGAGTATTTACATGTATCTCAGTTGATTCGATAAGCAAGAGCTTGCTCTACATATAAACAATTTCTATATTGAGTGTCAAAGTAGGTGTTTTTGAAAAAAAAGTAAATAGTTAAGTCACATAATATATTGACAATAAATTGAAAGACCCTTACTCATGCTAAACTTTTGGGAGTTGGGAGTGTCCGAGTCCCCTCAGTGCAGATCTTAATATAGCTGAGTTCTTCATCTTGTAGAACAGAGAGACTTGCTGAGTTTACCCTCATTGGTGATTGTGCTTCGAGAGGGACTGTATCTTACGAAAGCTGTAAATTAGAAATGTCTGTATTGGAATTTAAAAGAAAATTGTGAGTCACGGCCACGTCGAAATCAAAAACCGATAAACAGAATTATGTATCTTAGTGTTGTCTACTTAAGTGCCAAGTTATACCGTATAAGTGGAAATTTTAGCGAGACGCAAATTTAGCGATTTCTCCTTAAAAAATGGTAATGTATTTTTAGCGAGAGGTAATTTTAGCGATTTTAAAATGCTAAATAAAGAAGCTATTACAAATTAAATGCAATTAATTATTAGCGACATTTAATTTTAGCGATCTCAAGACACTCGCTAATAATGCCAAAATTAAATCCTCGCTAAAAATTCTACTTATACGGTATTCAAATCAGACCAAAAGTGTAGGAGGAGTAGCATTTTGAAAAATTGTTTACAGACAGACGGACGGACGCCGGATGCATTACTATCGCTTAAGCTCTTTTTGTCTCTGACCAGTAGAGCTAAACATTCACAGGGAAGCAAAGTTGATCGGTAGATCTTCTGCAAAGGCCTTCAGCCTTAAGAAAACTTGCATGATCAGGTTCTGATCCACTTCATTTCCAACTGAAGTTTTTATATTTAATTTTTTTGTAAAAGTAAATGATGTATTTCTTGGTGCATTTTATAAAGAAAGCTAATGCATGCATGTTTTTAATTGCTTCTTTAAATTGATAATTACATACAATGAACCAGGATTCTACATTGTTGACGAACTACTGAAGGAAAGGAAGAAAAATGGAAAAACAGAATTTCCTGTTAAGTGGGAAGGATATGATAAACGTAGGAACGAGAAAGAAACATCCCTACACATCTTATAGAGGCATTTAACAAAGTCCGATTTTTTTCTTGCTTATTGCATCTTGGAAGTGAATGTATTTAGTAAGGATGATAATTTATTGGTAACCAGTTAATTGTATATTTTTCTGACAGAGTAACATATAATGGAACAGATATTACTCTTTAAGGTTTCGTCAAAGGTCAACATGTCCAAAGATTTATTTTTACAATAGCCCCAAAACTATGTAAGGTATAAAGTTAAAACATTTACAGTTTATAAATTATTTATTGATTAATAGATAGAAAGTATCACTTGATAAAAAAAAATGCTTGGAATAATATTAATTGAGAAAAATTCTACTTAAAAATGCATATATTTTCCAAAAAATACACCTAATTAATTCCATGCTTTTAGTGAAAACCATCATTGCAGAAACAAAATATGTTTATCAATGAAGGGCAAGTTGGACTTGGATAGCCTTTGGAAAGTTGTTTCCCTGTTTATTTTGTCCAAATGTTAAGACTTGAAAGTGAAAGTATACACTGCAAATGGCGGATTCTATAGGGGTCTTGTCTTTATACATGTCATGCTTTCAATAACAGCCTTTCAGAGACCATTCACGTCCAACTTGCCCTTCAATGATAAACATATATTATTTCTACAATGTTGGTTTTCACAAAAAGGACAGAATTAAGCAGGTGCATTTTTTTAAAATATGCACATTTTCTGATACAATTTTTCTCAAAAAATATCTTTTTAAAAATATTTGTTATCAATTTATACTTTGTATCTATATTAATTAGTGATATATTTACAAAATGTAAACGTTTTGACTTCATACCACACATAGTTTTGGAGCAATTGTAAAAATAATTTTTTAGACATGTTGACCTTTGACGAAACCTTAACAACTTTATTCTGAAATGATTTTATTTAATTGGTTAGTTGTAAAACCAGTTTACGGTTACCATCCCTAGTTATTTTATAAAAGCTTGAGTGTAATTGTGAAGAAAGGATGATAGGATATAAATGTTAAACAATAACCAAAAGTACTTTACATATTTTTTTATTATTTAGCAAATGCCTCATTGCACTTTTGTTAACCTGAAACTTTTATAGATATACTTTAATTAAAGCCACGTTTACCATTGATTGTGATTTATATTGAAAAAGGTTTATATACTTGGAGATGTTTTTCATTATTTCCATTCGTACGTTTACATGAATAGCAGATTTTTAGTATTAAAGTAAGGGTCTAGTCGTGTGACGTCATAACCGGATCGGACTCCCGGATAGGTTTTTAACACTATTATTTGTCGATAACATCCCGCAGTAATGGCGGCAAGAAATAAGAAGGGGAAATTCGTGAAATCCTCTCGTATAAAGCAAAATGAAGTCCTGAGGAGAGAGTGTGTAAAATATTGGGACCGCAGTGATGATACTACTTCTAAAGTAAATGTTGAAACACCTGTAATCACTCCAGTTACGAACGAAGACCATGTGTATCACTGTGTTGACCCCCTTGCTAGCGATGTCCGTGTTGCTAGAGAAGAAATTGTTGAGCCAACGGGTAAAAATGATTGGAGCGAAGGTAGACGTATAATCGAACTTGGTATCCTTGCAAATAATTTGAAGGAGTGCAAGAGATGTGGACAACCTTTGCATTTATCCGATTGTGTTGGAGAGACTAGATTCGGACTCGCTCAAATTCTCCAAGTACAGTGTAGATACCAGGAGTGTAGGCTACTTAATGATGTCCCAACAGGCAAAAAACATCAAACAGAAAAGGGAGGAAAAGCATGGGATATTAATACGAAAGTAGCAGTAGGTAAGTGTATTATAGTTCTGAAATAAACCTGGAATTTGGATAAACTTGTATACATTGGTGTTTTTAATCAGGGGTGTGCAATAGATATTACAAAAATAAATGATTAGCCCGTTGGGCTAACAAAGTTACTAGCCCGAGGTTGCCAGTCACGCCCATTAACTACTGACAACAATACATGTATAAGTATAACATAAAGATTAAAAAAAAACATTGAAGTTGAAATAAGTAAAACAAATAAAGGTTTGAGCTTTGTAATTGTCAGGTACTTCCCCCTATTTATATCGACTATAATTGTCAGTGAGATGACTGGCGAATAGGAACACACAATGCATATAGGTTAAAACGAATTTAAGATTTTGATTTTACAGAAAAGTTAATTCGAACTAAATTCAGTCAAGGTAAATATATGTTTACTTTCGTTTTAGATTTACTAGCGTGACGGGCTAACGCAGTATAGATTTAATATAGCCCGACCTCTAAAATTGGTAGATGGTAATTGCACACCCCTCTTTTTATCTTTGATTATTGTTTTAAATAATTGTGTTTGTAATATTTTAGGAATGATCAATGGTGGCTTCGGAGAGTCTCATTTAAATGCCTTTTTAGCAGCACTAAACATTCCAGGAATTTCGAAGGGAGGTCTAAAGGAAAGGGAAAGGGAAGTTGGCAGTACACTGAGTAAAATGGCAGAAGAAAGTTGTCGAACCAGTCTATTAGAGGAAGTTGAAAAGTATGTTTATTGGTATTTGTCAAAATAATTTGAATTATTGAAAAAAAATAGAAATTTCATGCATGATAATTATTGGATTTTTCTTCAGGAGTGATGGTAATCTCACTGTCAGCTTCGATGGTGCCTGGCAAAAACGGGGTACTGGGCGTGCCTACAATAGCCTTACAGGTATTTTTTTATGTTTAAAAAAAGTCATCAATTATCCTAATTAGTAATTTGAATTGGATGCTTTGACTTTTCACTGATTACTAAAATAATACAAAGTATTTACTGCTATTGAATAATTTTCTTTTATGTTTGAAGGACATGCAAGTTTGATTGGGGAAAAAACCAAGAAATGTGTTGGTTATGCTGTAAAATCTAAAAAATGCAGAATATGTGACTTGGCAAAACGGAAGGATGTTCCTGTGAGGAAGCACAAATGCAGTCGAAACTGGTCAGGGTCAGCCGAATCTATGGAACCTGCTATGGCTTGCGAGATGGTGCAGAGCATAAAAGATCAAGGTGAAAAGGTATGAGTTGTATAGATATGTTCGATTTTATATATATATCTGTGTACATTCTAAGAGGTGAAAGTGCTATGAATTAAAATGCCACCTTCCATGAAATCTTTATTACATATTTATATATACTGTATACAGGGAAATTTTTGCCCCCGTTTTATTTTTGCCCCTTTCGCCCTTCTCTCATTTGGACGAATTTAAAACGGGGAGAATTCAAAGAATGCAGTATAATTTCTTAACCAAAACTATGTTCAGGCGAATTTAAAACCTGGCAAAATTGTTTGCAAGTGTGAAAGGGCGAAAATAACCCTGTATACAGTATCTGAAGATTGTAAATGAAAGTGCTAATGCATTACTGTTTTTTATTTTGCTTATAATTATAAAATGTTGTTAGGTTACTACGTTAGTAATGTACAACGATTCTACAACAATAGCCAGATTGAGAGCAACTGTTGATCCAGATATAAAGAAAAAGGTGGACAGCAATCACATGAAAAAAGGGTTTACTGGAAGTCTTGTGGAAATCAGCAATACCCATAAAGTATTGAAAAATGTTAAAGTTAAAACTCACATTGAGAGATGCTTTACATATTGTGTTCATCAGGCATCTGAAGATCCAGAAAAGTTAGCCAATGATCTGGGGAAAATTGTTCCTCATTTATATGGTAAGAATACTACTTGAAAAAAGAATGAACACATATTTAATGTTTGACACTTGCAAGAAAATTAATTTTGTTTTCTAATTATTTTTAGAAATATTTAGAAATTGGTCTGAGTTCTTGATAATGTATGAATGCTGTATTTGTATTAGTGTATTTAATCTAAATAGGGGACCATTCCATGTGTGGCACATGGTGCAGGAGTGAACAAACTGGTTACAAACCAAAAAACTTGCCATATGGGAAACCTCTAACAAGTGAGCCTCTGAGATCAGCTCTAGAAAAACTGTTTGAGAAGTATGCAGACCGGGCAACTGAGTTGGTGTCGATGGGATCCACTCAAGTGAATGAAAATTTTAACCACATGGTTAGCAAAGCGCCTAAAAGAATGTAAGAATTTTTAATTTTCAAATTTATGAAATGATAAAAACCATGCACATAGATAAAACATATACCTTTTATTAATTAGACTATGTCACCTAAACTGTTCATAGGTTTTATGGAGGTTCAGACAGTCTGCATAGTAGAGTATCTGCAACTGTCTGTCAGAAAAATGAGGGGTATAATTATATAACTGAGGTATACAAATGAAAAAAAATGTTCTTTGATGTTCTTTTGATGTTCACACATGGCAGTTTAGGCAATGTCTATAAAGTAAAGTATTTAAAAGGAAACATAAAAAATACCCATACATAGCCTAAACTTGTTTGTGTAGTTTTTGTTCTTGTCTTGTTTACATTTTTATTTTTTTTATTTACTTGACCCAGTTTCATTTTTAATGCATGATTGATTTTCAAGGGTTTTGAAAGTTTTTAGAGAATTATATCTATAAAATGTGTGAATTTATTGTAACAGTAAAACTCGTTTAGTACGAACACAGATATTGCGAATTCACAAATATAGCGAAGTCATCTTGGATCCCCATCTATATAAATTTAATGAACTTCTTATATGGATATAAAGAATTACAGATATATGAAGTAATTTTATAGGTCCCGGTGACTTCGTTATAACCAAGTTTTGCTGTAATACATTTTAATGCAGACACATTTGATATTTTACTCCATAAAATATATAATCTCTTTACTTGAAAAAAAAAATTATTACATGTTTTACATATCGATAAGGATCTGTTGATTCTTCTTTTTCTTTTCCAGAAAAAGTTTTCAATTTCATATTGTTATTTTTCTCAGGTGAATAAAAGGCTGACAATGTCTCCTGGAAGATACACCCTCAAGCATTCCAGGATCCTACAAAGCAGACTGAAGCTGAAGCGATTACAACAAGCAAAGCGGAGCACAAAGCGGAGGCGTTTAGAGCTGAAGTCAGAGCGGTCTTCAAAAGATGCATCACAATCTGTTCTTGAAGGTAAGTCAGATAAATACAATTTATCTGAAACTTAATTTAGATGTTTCTTTTTACCTATCATTTTTTTCCAAACATTTCTATTGCAGCCGATACATACAGCAGCAAAATTGGTTTGAGCGAAGAAGTTGATATAGAAGACATTTCTCTGAATAAATTAGATCAACTACCGAGTACTAACAAATCCTACATGGTATTTGACCTAGAGACTACTGGTTTAGGTTTGTGAACTATTTTTTTCTTTGTAGAAATATCTAAGGAATATATTATATAAGGTTAAGAGAATTGTGTTGCACTTGACTTAGAAGTATACACTATGGGAGTTGCAATATTTATTTTTATTTATTTCAGCCAGGACATCAGACATTGTTCAGATTGCAGCTGTATGTGGAGAGAGAGAGTTCAACATGTACTTGACACCACAGTCCCCAATTAGTCTTGATGCATCTGCAGCAACTGGGCTTACTTTTGTTGGTGGTGTGCTGAAGCATAATGGCAAGAAGGTGGACCATAAAGAGCCCTTTGAAGGACTTCAGCAGTTTGTAGAATTTTTGAAGACTGTTGATTGTAAACCTATTTTGGTTGGGCACAATATACAATGTTTTGACCTACCAGTGTTAATGAATCAGCTAGTCAAATGTAAATTACTTGACAGTTTTGCTAGCACTGTCACTGGTTTTATAGATACCTTACAAGTGTCTAGGAAATCTTTCAGCAAAGATGATGTTAAAGATTTTAAACAAGTCACTCTTGTAAATACTTTCATTGGAAAAGATTATGAAGCTCATAATGCTATTGCTGATGTGAAGGCATTGAGGGAACTTTTTGAAATGAAGTTATTGGCTCTGTGTTCAGCTAATGATGTGTTCACTTTGAATTATTATACCACAAAGAAGTCTTTAGAGCCCCTTGTTAAGGCAAAGATTGTATCTTCCATGATTTCAAAGAAGTTGATTGCAAATTCTCTTAGTTTGTCTAAGTTGGTGCTAATCCACAAGAGGGATCCACATAATGGGTTACGAAATGTTTTTAGTGAACCATTATCGGGTTCAAAGCAGCCTAGAATATCCAAGTCATCTAATGTAATCAACAAATTGGTTGAATATTTGAATGGCTGTGAATGATTACTGTTTGTATGTATTTTAATTTAGATAATACAGTGTGTAAAATAAAGGTCTAAAAACTTGTATGGGAGATTTCAGTCAACACTCAACCTAACGTTAGACTGTATTTGTTTTTTATGCTGACTGTTAATATTCTGTTGTATACTAATTTTTTGTGTATACTGTTGAACACATAATTGGATGTATTTTGACTCAATGTAGTGGAAAGAGTAATGCTTCAAAATTGATGACTGATTAGACTGTGGATTTTCATTTCATTTACTTGAAAAACAGATACATGTATAATATGTGAAATATATCTGTAATTAATGGCACACAGAAAGTATTGTAGGTTGTAAAATTATATTATATTCTAAAAAATGTTGTTATTCTTTTGCAGTTATGCATCTATGAAATGAAATAAAAGTCATCAATAGCTCTGGATTTTTTATCTTCCCTCATTTGAAATTCCTTATCAAAAATCTCAATTTGGACAAAAAACGTGTAAATAAATAGTGGTGCTGAGAAAAAATATATGCTGGCAATGTGCTGTTTTTTTAATTTAATTTTAACAAATAGTCATAGATGAACATAATTTGAGAATTTGAAAAATCACAAGTCATTTTTTTTTTTACAATAATTTTAATAGTGTTGTACTTCCAAGTTTTTGGGCTGGTCGAGGGTTGTATTTTGTTCAATTTAGTCCCCCAAAACCAAGGAAAATATAATAAGAATAAAATTTCACTGTAATTTGTTTAATTGGATATATTTCTTTGATTTTAATAGGAAAAATCATTCATTTGCATCAAAATTAGTGTTTTTATGTACAAATTTTGTGAAACCTTTATTGGAATCTCATATCGTCAATTGACAAATGGGGGTACCTATGTTTGAGAAACTCTCTCTCAGTAATAATATTGACAACCCCTTCTTTTTTCCAATTCATCACACTTTAGTATGAACAATCTAAACATTTGAGAACAATTTTTTGAAAAATCACAAGTAGGTCCAGTACTAGGGACCTACCTTAACTGTAACAAAAAAAGTGTTGAGAAACTGTGTCATACATGTAGAAGATATCAAAAGCAATCTTAAGTTCTCATTCTATTATTTAGTACAGTGGTGGTGTTTTGCTGTGAATGGTGTGCAGTTAATATTTATACAAGTTCACAAGAGTGGATTAATTTGGAAGGCCAGTGTTTGCTCTTACTTTTTTATCCGTTTTTTTTTAACCTTTTTGTGCACATTCTTCTTTCTATGGAGTTTACTTTCATTTGACGAGGCCATTTGTTTCAACTGATAAGTAAGATTGTTTATTATTTTAGAATTTTGGAAACATCCAAAGCACTCACAAACAGTTTGCATTACAAACACATTTTGCACATTAATCATGCTCACATTGTAAAGGAACTGTACACGTCACTGAATTATCTTCTGTTAGATGCACAACATTGTCATTTTCATCAGTTTTAACCTTGGTTTCTAAAGATTTCTTAGATTTTTAGGTCACCTGAGTAAACTCGGGTGACCTATTGCTATCTGTTTTCGTCCGTCGTCGTTCGTCGTACGTCGTTCGTAAACTTTTGAACATTTTCAGCTTCTTCTCTGCAACCACTGAACGATTTTCAACCAAATTTGGCACAAAGCATCTATGGGTGAAGGGGAACAAAAATTGTGAATTTCATGATCCCTGCCCCCCTGGGGCCTGAGGGGTGGGGCCAAAACCACTACAATTAATGCAATCTTTAAAAATCTTCTTCTTTACTCCTGGACATCCAGCAGTCAAACTGTTTGCATGATTGTAATCAGCATTGAGTCCTCTACCAAAATTGTGAAATTCATGGCCCTGTGGTCAGGGGTTCTAGTACTAGGACAGGGCTAAATAAGTAGGTAGTGATAATGCATTTTTTCTTTGAAAATCTTCTTCTCTGCTCCTGGGTATTAAATAAACCAACTAAGTAGTTAGTTATGATGAGCAAGAGTGCCTCTACCAAAATTGTGAAATTTATTGTCCCAGGGTCAGGGGTTCTGTTAGGGGGGGGGGGGGGCTTTATAGATTATATAGTAAAAATACATGAATTCTTTGAAAATCTTCTTCTCTGCCCCTGGGTATTAAATAAATTAACTAAGTGCATAGTTATGATAAGCATGAGTGCCTCTACCAAAATTGTGAATTTTACGACCCCAGGGCCAAGAGTTCTGGTGTTGGGGGGGGGGGGGAGGGGGCTCTATTGATTATATAGTGAAAATACACGAATTCTTTGAAAATCTTCTTCTATGCTCCTAGGTATTAAATAAACTAACTAAGTGTATAGTTATGATGAGCATGAGTGCCTCCACCAAAATTGTGAATAATTTTATGGTCCCTGGGTCAAGGCTTCTGGTGTTGGGGGGGGGGGGCTCTATAGATTATATTGTAAAAATACATAAATTCTTTGAAAATCTTCTTCTCTGCTCCTAGATATTAAATAAACTAACAAAGTGCATAGTTAAGATGAGCAAGAGTGCCTCTACCAAAATTGTGAATTTTATAGTCCCAGGGTCAGGGGTTGTGGTGTTAGGGCGGGGCTCTATTGATTATATAGTAAAAATGCATGAATTTTTTGAAATCTTCTTCTCTGCTCCTAGGTATTAAATAAACTAACTAAGTACATAGTTATGATGAGCAAGAGTGCCTCTACCCAAATTGTGAATTTTATGGTCCCAGGGTCAGGGGTTCTGGGGGGGGGGCTCTATTGATTATATAGTGAATACATGTATACATTAAATCTTTGAAAATTTTCTTCTCTGTCTCTGGGTATGAAGCAGATGAACTACCTAAATAGTTATGATGAGCAAGGGCCCTAATCTTGCAAAATTTTGAATTTCAAGGCCCAAGGGTCAGGGGTGGGGGTGGGGCTATACTTATATACTGAAAATGAATTGTTTGAAATCTGCTCCTTTGTATTTATAAAACATTTATTTATATTTTGATAGACAATTCTAACGGTGCCTTTTTAAAATTTGTGCAATGTATGGACCTAGGGTCAGGGGTTTATTTCACAGTGTTAGGGGCATTACTGATTACTGCTGAATATTACTGATTAGTTGGAATGCATTTTTTCCCCTACCTTGCGTATGGGTATCAGTACCCTTGCGAGGTGATTATGAATAATTCATGAATTTCCTTGACTTTTTCATGAATTTTATTCATGAAATGTTTATGAAACGTTCATGAACATCCTATGAACTTATTATTGGGCATATTTAAATCAATAAACCAAGCTAAGCAACTGCTAAGTGTATTGTTATGATGATCAATGGTGCCTCTTTCAAAATTGTGAATGTCATATAGCATCTGGCTTAAAACATGAATCAAATTTAATAACTGGAAAGTTGTTGCAGAATGCTCAGGTGACCTATAAGGCCCGTGGGCCTCTTGTTGTATTTATGGCTGTCTTTCCTTTGGGAGAGGCCTGCGCTTGAAAGGCATGGTTAGTTCATACCCAAGGTGTAATGTTGGGACAGGATTGCCTCCTTCAAAATGTTTTGAACATATTCTACTGTCATCGTCAGGCTTCCATTTTTTCCAGGTTTCAACTGTCTATTAACTAATTTAATCCATTTTGCTCTTAATTCAGGGTCTTTTCTTTCTGTTGGAAAGGGAATAAGATCAAATGAGGAAGCACACACACAACATCCTGTACCACTGTTGCACTTCACAAAATGTCTTTTTCCATTTTTTGAGTAGGTACGTGCTGCGTATGCAGTCCTTAATGGCACAAATCTTCATTCTTTCAACTGAAATTTACGGCAAAGCACAGACACCCCCCCCCCCGCCTCTTCAAATGTGTAGTGATAAAACTAATCTTAGTAGTAGGGGATCCAGCGATATGAATATATTAAATGAAGAAAAAACATTTATCGCTCCAAAAAATCTTAAAAGTTATTTAATCATGAAAGTAAACAAAAAGATATCCGAATGACAT